TCGTTGCAGGACTTCTACACGGGCTTCAGCTTCCGAACCAGCCAGAGCCACGGCCTGCTGTATTCCCACTCCACAGCGGTAGGACTGCAGTGCACTTCTGCTGTTCCCCCCCGTCACAGCGGGGCCCGCACTTCGCCTCGAAGGGGGCCGCACGTTTCTGAGCCCCGAGCCGCTTCTGTTTGAGGCTGCGGTTCGGCTGGCTCTTGCAAGTAGGGTTCAGTGAGCACGGCTGAGGGGAGAGGGACACTGTCATGACAGCAAAGCCTTCTGCATCCTGCTCACCCCAAAAGCCCAACCCTCATCCCTAATTGCTGCCTCGCCAGAGAGGTGTGATTGTAACAGGAATCCCAGCAGGGAGCAGGTGAGCTCTTGCATGAGCTCAAGGTCTTTGGCTCGTAGTAAGAGCTGAAGAAGGGATTTTCAGAAGGAGCTGTATTTCCTGGGTGTACGGCAGGAGGTTTCTGTTACTCTCTCAAAGAAAGGGAGGCGTTCGCTCCGGTGGTGAGTGAACAGTGAAAGGGAAGGTGGCGGAGAAGGGTCTCTGTTTAGAAAAGCAATGTTGGTAGATCCTCTCTTGCCCCTTCCCCGTGCGTCTTTGGGAGCCAGAAAATTCTCTCCAACCCCTTAGCACAGAGAGCTGGATTCTGGCGCTTCTCCTGGAGATAGATTCCCCCCAGACATGAGGAGCCCTCACTTCCCATTCCACCTGGGGCCACGTCTTCCTGACTGGATGGAGGATCCCCCTTGCTGTGACATCACCTGGTACCTCTGTGCCTGGCTGGGTGTCCTGGGAGGGAAGTCACGCCAGGAGGGCAAATGGCCGTTGATTCCTTATAGTCGTTCGGCCATGTCCAGCTCTCGTGCGAGGCGTTATTTTTCCTTTGTAGGAAGGGAATTGCCAGGTGTCTCTGAAGAATGGCCGAGTAGCCGTGACAGTGTTGAAAACCGAACTCACCACAAAACATGCCTATGCGGACGATGCCAGCCACTACGTCGCCATCTACAACAATGCCACGGGGTACGTTCTAGTCATCCCTCGTAGCAGCACTGTCGCCGCTGGTAGCAGGCACTGCCTCGTCGCAGCGTGCGGGGGGCGCCGGGGCCGAGTGAATCGCTAGCCGTGCTCTCATTGCAGGGTTCGGCTTTACATAGATGATCAACTCCAAGGGCCCAAGCAAGGAGCCGATCGCTACAAGAGGCACAGGCGCCAGGAGGAGCAGATGCTGTTTCAACTGGGTGGTTTGCCAGAGGCCGGCGCTCTTAGCAACCTGACGGGCTGCATCGGGAATGTCTTTGTGAAGCGGTGAGTGCGGTGTGTCCCTGCGGTGCTGTCTCCTTAAATTGCCAGGGTGGTTAATTTGCCCCTTTTGTCCTTTCCCCTCCCAAATCAATCTGCTCATTTATCCCTTCTCCCCAGTCCATCTGTAACCCTGATTCCCACCTCCCACATACACACACCTTCCTGATGTGCTGAGGTGCCCGACCCAGCTGGTGTTTGCTCACCTGCTCAGGATGTGCCACCCCGGGGCTCCCCCACAGTACCGGATGGAGACCTGTTTCCTTTGTGCAATAGGAAGTTAGACCCGCAGATGGTTGTGGACCTGCAGCAGAACACAGAGAGCTTCAACGTGACCATGAGCTGCCCATGGGACCGGCAGCCACAGCAGATGAGAGCGTCTCTGAAGAAAGACAGGCGGAAACTAAAGGTGTTGGACTCTCTTCCCGCTCTTCAGCTCCTCTGCTCCCATCTCCTAGCTGAGCTGTGTACTGGTGGCTTAAGGGTGCAGTTGGAGTCAGTGGCTGGAAATGGGGCAGGGATAAGGAACCTACCCACACCTGCCTGCCGTTGTAGTTGTGGTTGCCGTGGGTGAAACGTGGGGCCATACTCTGAGCTGACATTAACCGCCTGGGTGTGGACAGCAGAGGAGCTGCCTTGCATTCCCTGACCCATTCAGTCCATCTCAGCTCTTCCCTGCTCCTGGCTGTGTCCTCCAGCCCAGGGCACTGCACCCCCCGGCACTTGGGCTTCATGACGGCATTCCAAGGAGCCCACTCTGCCGTCCCACACCCTGCTGTGTCCCATGGTCACCCAACGAGGGGCACTGGTGTGGGGGACACTTCAGCTGGCCTGGGACTGTGCCCTGCAGAGTCAGTGCCGCTCTGGGATTGGTGATTCCATGTTCCCCAGCTGTGAGTTGGGCGGCAGCAGTTTTAGGAAAGGGAGCGGGGGTAATTTGGGGTCTGTATGAAGAGGCAGTAGAGAGAGACTCAATGCACCTTTGCGAAAAACAGAAAAAAGCAAACCAGCTCTTCCCTCTGGGAGCCCAGACAATCCAGAGCAGGAGTGGCTCTGGCCTATATGGGCCCCAGATACAAGGGTGACAGGCACAGGGTAGATGCATTGGTCTTGCGTGTGGTGGCAGACAGCGCCCAAGTCCTCCACAATGGAGCCGTTGCTTTCCTTACCCAGACCCTTTCTTTTCCAAATTGTTCTCTTGTAGGTGCCAAGCAAGGCTGTATTGAAAGACCATAGGCATTACCAGGACAGGACCTGCCAGTTACCCAGGCACCCCAAAGCCGCTAAAGGTGCCTTCCGGTTTGGAGGATCCTCCACGAGCCATGTGGAATTCGATGATATCCCAGCGTCCTTCCGTGAAAGGTAAGTGTGCTGTGTCTGCCCTGTCTCCATACACCCAAACTCTGCTCCACCACCTGTCGCAGAGGAGTGATGAAGACACCGGGCTATGAGTCAGGAGTTCTGGGGGCTGGCCTGGCTCTGCCATAGACTCCCTGGAGGGAATTGGGGGCAAGTCACTTTGGCCCAGATTGTTAAAGGTATTTAGGCGCCTAGGCACTTTTGAAAATGGCACTCAGCAGTGGCACCCATCTGCATCTTTAGGCACCTAAATCCCTTTAATAATCTGGCCCTTAAACGCTCTGTGCCATAGTTCTCTGGATAACAGGGATAATTCTTAACCTGCTCCGTGGGGCGTGTGAGGGTCGGATGCTCCTGGCAATCTCAGTTGGAAAGTGCAGTAGCAGGGGGCATGGTGGTGGTAAGCTCTAGTAGCAGAGGTGGGGGGGGGGACTGTGACACTGAACAGCCCCTCTTGTTCTGCAGGTCCCACTTCTCCATGGACGTCAGGCTGAACTCAGCCAGTGGTCTGCTGTTTTATGTGGCCAGCAAACTGCAGGGCTCCTTCATGGCCCTCTTCGTCTCCAGTGGCCGCTTCGTGTTCCTGGCAGATTTCCATGGGAATAAACTGAGAATGCGGAGCAAAGACAAGTACCATGACGGCAGGTGGCACACAGTAAGCAGAGGGACCGCTGGGCTGGTACTTAGAGGGCGAAATGCATGGCACGCAAAGCTCCCTTTTCTAGCCCTCAACTAACCCCTTATTCCCCATTCCACATCTCAGAGCAGTGCCACTGAGGGGCAGGAATTCCACCCACGATGAGGTGGACAGCAGGAAACATTTTTGTGGCCACTTCTTTTTCTTGCGTCGTTGAGGCGAAGGTTGTTTTTCAGGTGGCAGCTGTTTGACGCTGCCCACGTGGTTATAATCACCACCCATCTGGCAGAGGCATGGGGTGTCTGTAGAGAGTAAAGTGGGTGGCAGAAGGGTCATGTTTTCAAATGGACGGTCTCCCTTTCATCGCTGCGATTGGTGGCTACGGTCTTGCACCTCTGACAACCTGATGGGGGTGCTAATCAGAGCCCTTCTGAATCGTGAACCACATCGATTCTGAGGCCAGAAGGGTTTAGTTGCCTGACCATTACATCCTCCAGCATGTCGGAGCCTTCTCTCCCTTCCCAAATTTAGTCTGATTCTTCTCCCTCGCCAGAGCTGAAGAAGGGATTTTCAGAAGGAGCTGGGCTTTCCAGCTGGACCATGGGTGTAGCAAAGCATGGGCATGGGTAGAAACAAACAGTTATTGCTCTGAACCCTGCTTACCACGTGGTGTGTAACGCTTGCTCGTTGCAGGTCTTCTTCGGCAGGGACGGGAGCAGGGCTCAACTGGTCATCGATGGCCTGAAGGCTCAGAACGGCGTGGTGGCTGCCACTGGAGACTTTCTGGCCCAAAGCCCGTTTTATGTGGGGGGAGCTCCTGCTGCGAAAGCCAAGGCTCACGTTCCAGTAAGGACGCCTGGCGCCTGGTCACCCCATCCCGCCATCCCAGCTCACTGCAGGAAGAGCTTTTATACCGGGTGTCCTCCCTTGTCCGGCAAGGGCAGGGGACACTGCCTTCCCAGATGAGTCTGCCGAGGGCGTCCATCTGGCTGGCAGCCCTTGGAGTCTCTTGGCTAGTCCTGGCCTCTCCCACTGCCACTGCATTGTGCAAAGTGGTAAAAGTTGCCAGGCAAAAATTAAACTAACGCAGCTCTGGGGAGAGTTGCCCAGATTCTCATTTGTACCCGGCCCTACTGCCCTGCTAGGGGCTGGACGGCGGGCACAGCGCGCACATGCCCTTAGCTTAAGGTCCCTCTTCCCTGTCAGAACGGCGTAAAGGGGCCAAGGAGTACCAGCCCACATGATGCCCAGGCATCCATGCTGTGCTGTTAGATTTGCCAGCTGCCTTCAGTGCCAGGAATCACACGCTGCTGAGTTTCCTGGGGACGCGCTCAGGTGCTGATGGAGCTGTTCTCTGGTGGCTTCGTTCCCTGCTCCAAGAGGTTGCAGAGGACAGTCATAGGCTCTCTGTCCACAGGGCTCAGTCTTACCACTGTCCCGTCCCCTCATTCCACGGGCATAAGGGGCTCTTGGGAGGGCTGGGGCCTGACCAAACCCAGTGCAGTCAGTAGAAGGGCTTCTGTGAGCATCGCTGGGTGCTGGATCCAGTCCTTAGCCGGGAATGGCTGTCTGCTGTGATGGGGAGGGGGGAGGGGGGTCTTTGTCCAGCTGGGGCATTGTTCCTTTGTCCTGTCAGGGGGCCTAGAGCTGCGGAAGAGGAGGCTGCAGAAACTAATCCCAGGAGTGGCTGGTGCATTGGAGGAAGAGCCCTCCAGCCCATTTATTGGCCACATGCGTTTCCCGCCCACGTCCTGTGCCGACAGGTAATGGACCAGGCCCGCAAACGCCCGCCAACCCTGGCCCTCTCCCTCTCTCCCCAGGATACTTCTGTCCCCAGTTTTAGCGGCTGCCTGAAGAACTTGAAACTGGATGGGAAACCCCTGGACTCCCCCTCTCGTGTGTTCGGAGTGACGCCCTGCTATGAGGGGGCTCTGGAGAGCGGCATCTTCTTCGCTGCAGAGGGTGGATATGTGACTTTAGGTATCGGAGTAGCTGGCTTGGCCCTGGGCTCCCTGATCCCTTGAACCCTCCCTCCCCATGGTACGGCCTGGGTGGGTGCTTTCCCAAGCAGCCTGGCCCTTCACCTTGGGAGGTACCCATAGCCTCCCCCTTCCTGATTGCTCCCGTTTTCCCTTCCAGCCGACTCTGTGGCGATGGGTCGGGACCTGGAGCTGAGGTTGGATGTCCGGCCCCGGAGTGCCTCTGGCCTGATTTTCCACGTGGGCACGCAGAGAAAGCACTACCTCACTCTGTACGCAGACGACACACAGGTACCTCAGTGGGGCACGGTTGGCCGGTGGTGAGTGCTGGGGGCTGGTTGGTGCGGAGTCCCATGGGGTACAGATGTTCACAGAGTGGACCTTTGGTGCAGGGGGCGAGCCTAGGTGCAGCTGATGGAAATCCTGCCTGACCGGCCGGTCCGTCCTGCCCATTTCTAGATCAGATCCTCTGGCGCTGCCTGGAGGAGGCAGCCCCTGCTTGGTGCTGTCAGCGCACACGCAGAGCAAGGGCTGGCTGATCAACTGAGCCAATGGTGCGTTCCTCCCTTCGCCTGCCCCCAGCTGCGTCCCACTACTCCCCTGCCTGCCTGCCCTCATGACTGGGAAGCTTCTTGAGTAGATCTCTTGTTGCTCTCATGCCTCGGGAGGGCTGTCCCGGGGCTCGTCTTTGGAAAAGCTTGTCGCCGGGAGGGCTCCTTAGCTAAGGTAAGGAGTAAAATCGGCACTTGGCCTTCACCCCAGGGAGAGGGAGCCAGAGGGGAGATGTTCTAGTCACGTTACTTAATGTCCTTCTGGACAGTGCTCAGATACCGCAGGGATGGGCCCTTCCCCCACCCCTCGCATTCCAGCATTAAGCCCAAAAGAGTCTCAACTCGGCTCTGTTGTTTCATTAGGTCACAGTGAAAGCAAACAGCGGGGCTGGGGAGTTCTCCACGTCGGTGGCCCGCCCGTCACTCTGTGATGGCCAGTGGCACAGCATAGCAGGTGAGATGGCAACCGGTAACCAGCCACTAACACTTGTTGGGCGGGATTTTCCATCATGCCACGGGGCCCTAGGAATCTCGGATTTCCCTCTGCTGCTCTCCCGCAAGGTGGACTGCGGTCAAGGCTGCAGGCGCAGCTGGAAAGAGCTCAGTGTTCAAAACACGCGACTGCTCCCTGTATTTGGAAATCGGTGGTTTTTTTAAGGCCTCTGACAACCGTGTCCGCTCACTAGTGTCCTTTGTCTGAGGATCTCAAAGCCCTGTACAAACAGTAATTAAGGCTGTCACTGGGAGGAAGGGATTAATTATTTGATATTATTAACGCTGCTTAACAGATGAGGAAATGAGTCACAGCCAGTTCAGTGCTTTGCACTGTCGCAGAACACATTAATAACAGACTTGAAGAGAACAGAAGTAGGTGTCCAGATTCCCAGCTCCCTGCTCTAACCACTAGCTACACTGCCTCCCTTAGCAGTTAGCTCTTACAAACCGTCTCTTTTGTTATGGGCAGTCGCCGAATGCTGCAGTGAGACTCTATGGCTGTGGTTTGCAGAGGGGCTCCGAACTGGGGCCAGATATCCAGGGAGCTCTGCTCGTCTTTAGCACTGTACTGAGTGGTGAGAAGAGTTCAGCATGTCGGGCGGATACAAGGAGCTGAAAATCTGGCCCCGTGTCTGTGTCTCGGTAGCCGTCCAGAGTCCAGCTCCCTCTCCCATAGCCATGTTGGTTCTCAGCTGATGGCACCGTGTACAGAGTCCTGGAGCATCTCTGCTCTGTGCCACTCCTCTGCCCATCAGCGCACCAAAGCGGGAGATGAATGCTGCACATCTCATGAGTCCCATTGCATTTTGAGCCAAGAACTGCTCTCTGGAGCCTCGGCTGTCTCCTGTAGATAGACTCGCTCTGAACTAGCCCCATTTCCAGCAGGAGGGATGCATGCTGGCCAGGGGCAGCATTGTTCTCTGCAGTGCTCTTGGTTCAGTCTCCCCACCTCTCCTGGCTGGCTCAAGTTGCAAGTAGAGCCCGGTTGGAGCATTTTTGTGCTTGGCTGGAGCCGGTGTATCAATTTCAATGATATTTTCAATGGGAAGGTTCCGGGGGGAGGGGCTCTCCGGTCACTTCCACGGGGAGCCTGAATTGAAAACCTGACTCTTGTGAGCCAAAAACAGACCTTTCGGCACAATTCTGTGTCGCAAAATCATTTGAAAGGTTTTGGTTTCACTTGGAACAAAGCACATTTGAAAGCTGCCGCGAAGCAGCAATGCTGTCCTCTGGCCAGCTCTAATGGGGAGATAATCGCGCTGACTTTGGTTTCTTTCTAAGTCATCCAAGGCAAACACGTGATCCAGTTGGACGTGGACACAGATGGAAACTACACGGTGGGACCCAGCCAGACTCGCTCAGCAAATACCAAAGAGACGCTCTATCTGGGGGGCGTGCCAGGTGAGTCAAAGGAGCAGTGACTCACTGTAGCCAGAGAGCTCCTGCTGTCAGATCTTGATCCCAAAAGGTCTGAATTTCTGAACACCCAGTGGCACGTACTGTGTTCCTGCCATCGCCAACGGGGCTCAAACGATCTCCCAAAGAAGTGGCTGGTCCTAGAGCACTTGGCCTGGAGCTAATAACCCCTCAAGAGCTCAGCTTGGGAAGAGGTGTGTAAGGCAGCCGGAGTGTATTTGGAGCCCCCACTCTTGGTATTTTGTGGGATTGAAGATGTGGGAATGGGCCATAGATTGTTACCCATAGAGTTCCCAACAGCCTCATGCTGAGAGCATGGTGCTTGCATGGCCCCCAGCTGCTTTGGTTTACTCCGGAGGGAATTCTGCGCCAAAAAACTAAAAATTCTGTGCACAATATTTTAAAATTCTGCAAATTGTATTTGTCAGTAAATAACTGTGGCTCCAGCATGGCAGTGGGGAGTACAGGCCACTGGCTGCACTGAGGTGGGAGATCGCCCTGAAGCCCCCGCCTCCCCCGTACAGAGACTCGGCAGTGAGGCTGCACCTGACCCTAACACAGCGCTTCCCGTGCTAACCAGCCCCTTTGTGCCTCTCTACAGGAACTGCCACGCTGGAGGCTGCTTCGCCGTCCCTGCTCACTCCTCTTCCCCATTACGTCGGCTGCATAAGGAATCTGGTGCTAAACCGGAACCCCGTTGACCTGTCACGAGCTGGGACTGTCGGGGGCTCGGTTGGCCTTACGGGCTGCCCCGTGATTTAAATAGTGTAAAGCCTGAACTATGAAAAGCTGCACTACCCGCCAGGTGCCTTGCTGGGCCTAGACACTAAGCCTGCGATCTCTTGTAGCCTTGACTAGCAGCTGCCAGGGACACGGGAGCTCCAGCAACTACGGTGAAGCCATGGAGGTCCAAACCCAGAGAGGGTCTGAGCCTGCAGCTCCACGCTCTCTCTATCACCTTATCTTCAATTGGTTTTGATTATTGGTGCCCCCTAAACCCCCAGCTCCAGTACGTAAGTGTTAGAGACAAGCCCCTATTACCTGTGAGCCCTGGCTCTCGATGCTTAGAACAGCAGCATAGAAGGAGAGTGGGTAGAGGGCAGCTGTACATCACCCCCAAACCCCCCCCCTCTGTTCACTTCACCTGACACGGGGTGTCCCTGCTGTGGGTGTGGGCTGGAGACTTTAAGTTACACACTGTTGTCAGAGGGGTAAGAACAGCCTTCGCTAAACCTGTCTCTCAGCATGGTAGTTGGGCCTGTTGTTGCTACTGAGATCTCCTCACTGTAGTAAGG